TATTCTATTCTATTCTATTCTATTCTATTCTATTCTATTCTATTCTACCCTACCCTACCCTACCCTACCCTACCCTACCCTACCCTACTCTTAGCAAAGGAAGCTCTGTTCCCAATTGTGGTCATAACTCAAGGGCTACCTGTCACTCCTTTAAAATGCCAGCTTGGCATTCATGATTCACAGCTGGAGACTTTGTAATTCTTGCTGATGTCTTTACCAAGATACTGTAAGTCTTCCCTTCCCGTCAAACCTGGTAGTTTTTTTTGCCAAAAAAGCTGAAATGCTGACTGGAGGAACTCATTATTGTGGAGAAATGAACTAGAGGCAGTAAAATCAGTAGGAAGGAAAATTTGAGGATCTGTATTTCTCCCTCCTCACGCTGAGATAGAAATTGGACAATAGGTGAATCCAATCGGTTTTCCACATTAAACTTCCGTTCCCCAACCAGTCAGAGCTGAAGAAGCTTCTTGGATGAGAAGCGCAAACCAAAAAGTTCATTTGCCTCTTGAAAAAGCACCTTCGGGACAACCATGACCTGCATGAATGAGGATCCCTATAGACTTTCCATATTAAACATAAAGAGAATTGATTCTACTCCAGAGGCTCCAGGAATTTATATCTTCTTCCCAAATAACACGATGTAATTGGATTAGGACAACAAGTTAATATATCATTCTCTTCTAAACATTAGAAGTTAACGTATATATCAAACTGCCATCACTCATCAAGACTTATACAAGCAAAACCGTTTTGGTAGCTTTCCCACTTTGCTGGCAGATTTTTTTAAAAAAATCTTGTCATCCCCTTTCCTTCTTAATTTCTCATTTTAATCACATCGTCCCTACTTCCTAGGGAGCTGACTGGTCCACAGTTTCAAAAATGCTGCTCTCTCCCATTCTTCCTTCCCTTTATGAATCTCTCATATTTCTGTCTCTTTGCTTGTAGATTGGAATGGATACATCTTACTGGACATTTGTGAATGCCTTCTCAATATTTGGGAGTATCGCACTTTATTTTGGCATCATGTTTGATCTGCACAGTACTGGGATCCACGTCCTCTTTCCTTCCGTGTTTCAGTTTACAGGTTGGTACTGATTTCTTTCTTTCTTTCTTTCTATCTGCAAACAAGTTACTGCCTTAAAATGTCAAAATTGTGTATCCCAGTTGACTTTTTTTCTTTCTTTCTTTCTATCTGCAAACAAGTTACTGCCTTAAAATGTCAAAATTGTGTGTCCCAGTTGATTTTTTTTTTTAAAAAAAGAAAAGCTTAGTAGTGCCTCAAGGTTGGACTGAAAAAGATTGCAAGCTTCAAAAGGGAAGAAATTTAAATGACCCTACCAGGGATGGGATTAAAAATTTTTTACCACCAGTTCTGTGGGTGTGGTGGGCGTAGCATGGCTTGGTGGGCATTGCTTGGTGGGCATGGCAGGGGAAGGATACTGTAAAATCCCCATTCCCTCCCCACCCCACTAACCTGCTTTCCAGCTCCGTTCTCCTGTGCAGGGCAACAAAAGAAGACCCAGCCAATCAGCTGGGACTTGGGAGGCAGAGAATAGATGGGGGCGGGGCCAGTCAGAGGCGGTATTTGCCGGTTCTCTGAACTACTCAAAATTTCCGCTACCGGTTCTCCAGAACCTGTCACAACTGGCGGAATACCACCTCTGGACCCTACACAATATAAAGAATGTAATGAAACTTGGAAGTAATACAGATAGTATTACTCGACTTACAACCACAATTGAACCCAAAATTTATGTTGCTAAGTAAGACATTTGTTAAGTGAGTTTTGCCCCATTTTACGACCTTACTTGCCACAGTTGTTAAGTGAATCCCTGAAGTTGTTAAGTTAGTAACATGGTCGTTAAGTGAATCTGGCTTCCTCATTGATTTTGCTTGTTAGAAGGTTACAAAAGGCAATTACATGACCTCGGAACATTGCAACTGTCATAAATATGAGTCGGTTGCTAAGCACCTGAAGTTTGATCATGTGACTGTAAGGATGCTGCAATGGTGTAATTGAAAAAAGGTCATGTTACTTTTTTTCAGTGCCATTGTAACTTTGGTCACTCAGTCAGAGATGATATTCAGAAGGTTCTGATCAGTTCTGGAGAACCGGTAGTGGAGATTTTGAGTAGTTCGGAGAACCGGCAAATCCCACCTCTAACTGGCCATGCCCCCATCTATTCTCCACCTCCCGAGTCCCAGCTGATCGGCTGGATCTTCTTTTGTTGCCCTGCACAGGAGAACGGAGCTGGAAAGCAGGTTAGTGGGGTGGGGAGAGAATGGGGATTTTGTAGTAACCTTCCCCTGCCATGCACACCAAGCCACGCTCACAGAACCGGGAATAAAAATTTTTGAATCCCACCACTGCACTCAATGAATTGTAGGTTGAAGACGACCTCTATGACAATAATGCTGGATTAAAGTATATTTCACCACTTCATGGGTCTATTATTTGATTTAATGTTTGAACTCATACCTATTTTGTTTTGATTTGGTAGTTAGATTTAATAATCCCATTTTTCCCGCAGGAGCTCAGGCACCTTAGATTTTTATTCCCACTACAACAACCTTGTAGGGTAGACTAGGATGAGAATGAATGGCCCAAAATCACCCAATAAGGTTTCCTGGCGGAGAACTGAGTTGGACCTGGCATTATGCCAGGCATAGTGCCAACTTCTTAACCACTGCCTTTATTTATGAGATTAAATGAGTTTATACTTTTTAAAAAATCAATATGTTTCAATAAAAATAAATAAATAACAATTAAATAAACTCATCGTTTGCACAAACTACAATTTAAGTATGATTCCTGGAAGAAGCCGTATAGCTGGATCATACATTCTATGAAGCCAAACAAATCAAAATGCTAAACCCAAAAGGTATTTTTATTTAGATTATGCATGAACCAACCATTATGTTGAAAGACAACCAGTTTCTGAGCTGCACAAAAACTGTGCATGGAGAACAAGTGCAAAAGAATCAAAAACGTAATATAAAAAGCATATATTCCACTTACGACCGGTCCCTTAGCAACAGTTTGAAGTTATGACGGACCCCAAAAAGGTACTTACCACCCAGATTTGAAGTTCTGATGGCTGTCCCCCTCAATCACATGACTATATTTTGGGCATTTGACCACCATCCAACATTTACGGCTTTTTGCAGCATCTTTCAGTCACATGTAAATTGCTATTTACAATTTGTTTGTTTTTTCAGAAATCTGTATTTAGTTCCCATTTCTGGCACACAAAAACCCCACCCATTGCAGATAATGGGTTTGCTTAACAACTTTGGCATTTACTTTATGGCTATGGTGATTTGCTTAATACTACCACAAAAATGTCCTAAAATTTGGTTGATCAGATAATGAACCACTGAACCAGTGGTACAATTTACGACCGTAATTCTCTGGCCTCAATCATGGTCATAAGTCGAGGACTACCTGTACTTTACAAACAGAAAGGTATCACCTGTGTCACCCCCCCCCCAAAAAAAACCTACAGTAGTCATATCACAATACAAAGTTCTGATGCATTTTTAAAAACAGAGCAACATGGCGTCACTGCAATGGAAGCTCTGCCCTCCTCGCATATATGGGAGTGGATCTCTGTGTGATGGGGCTTTCATCATTTGCTCATGTCCTTGGGATGCCTCTGTTGTTGCACCTTAAAGATTGCTTTTAGGTTTTGTTGGTTTGAAGGAACTGCACATGCATTAGCCACTGTTCAAACACAAATTCAAAAGGAACAAAAACCTTGTAATGCTTTTACAAAATAATTAGCTGTGATAAGTACAAGCCTTGCCAAAAGATAACAGACTAGAAATAATTTGCAATACAAACTCAGGATACTAGATTGTCCACGAAGCTGTAGTTTCAAAACGTCTTTGCCTTCTGCAAAGAAGGTTTGTTTCCCAGCTGGCTTTTTTCTTCTTGAGGGAGGGGTCATTACCTTGCAGCCTTACTCCCAAGTCGCCTGTGCTGTTGTAACTGCTCTTTCCTACAAGCAGCCCTGTGCGCACGTGCACTTGGCTCAGGCTCCTCGGGAACCTCCTCATCACTGCTGCCAGCCCCCACAATCTCTGAAGGCAGCAGTCCACTTCCTAATGGTCCTGGCCCCTCATCTGAGTCCTCGCTCTCCTCAGCCATCGGCACCTGCTGCCGGCTAACCACAACAGCCACCTAATTGTAACTGTCATGTCTCCTTCCCAGGTACCGCTTCAAATGCCCTTCGACAGCCATATATCTGGTTGACCATAATACTGTCTGTCACTCTCTGTTTGCTGCCCATCATTGCCCTCCGGTTCTTGATGATGACCATCTGGCCTACAAAAAGTGAAAAGGTATGTAGGAGATTCTGGTTATTAATCCAAGTTACCAACGAGTTGAAGAAGAGCTGGTTAGGGTTTTTTTTTTTTGTATAATCATGAATCATGAGTTGTGTGTGGTGCGGTGGCCTAGAGGTGGAGCTCTCGCCTCACAATCAGGAGGCTGTGAGTTCGATCCTAGGTAGCGGCAGGTATTTCTCTCTCTGGGCACAATGAGTAAATATCAGCTGCGAACTCTGTGCTGGAGACAGGAAGGGCATCCGGCCAGTAAACACCCAGCTCTGACTCCACCCCGATGCAAGAGATTACAGGGCCATTAAAAGACCAAAAAAATAAATAAATCCTGAGTTGTGATAGTCTTAAAGTGGGTCACCCATATGACCACCCAGTTTTGCAACCTTTTTTTTTTAACGGTCATCAAGCAAACCTATTAATCACTATCTCCCAGTTTTGCCAAAAACCAGAAGTAAACGTTGGTTTGGGGCAAAACCAACATAAAATGCAGTCACGTGGCTCAAAGGGCCATAAATGAGAACTAATTGCTGAGCATTGGAGGGGGTGGCCATCAGAACTGCAGAACTGGTCATAGGTACCCATCATAACTTTGAATGGCTATTAAGGAATTAGTGATAAATTGAGGTCCACCTGTATTTAGAATAATGGGAACAAGCCTGAACTGTGGGACCCTCCATTTGTCTATGACTCCTCCAGCACTTCAGCCATGGGTAGGAGTGCAGGAATTTCCACACCCAAGTTTGATTGAGCATTTGCTATATTGTCTATACTTGAAAATTTATGGCTCCAACAGTCAGTCACAGAGAGGGATTTTTTAAAAAATAAATAAATTCTTTTTTTAAAAAAAATCACTCCTAGTGCTCCAAAAATCCCAGGAGGCTTAGAGGTTGAATCTTCTCTAATAACTGCTACTGAACTTTAATCTGTTCTACAATTGTCTCCTTTAAAGATTCGGAAGAATCGCAAAAAGTACAAGGCCGAAGAGGAGAAGTGGAAGCGAAGGCAGAGCGTTCTCCGTCGTGGGGTAACGGGTCGTCGTTCTGCGTATGCCTTCTCCCACCAGCGAGGTTACGCTGACCTCATCGCTTCTGGGCGTATCATCCGTCGTAGGCGAGCTTCCCTAACAGCAGTTCTGGGCAACAATTTGGCCGAAATTAGGCGAGCTGAAGAAAACAGTTGATGACTTGCCCAATCCCACAGAAAACAGAGGAAGGGTAGCACAAAAAGTTTTATTTTTTTTTACAAAGGACGGTGGCTTCTTTTTCTTTTTTTGAAAAACACGTGCAGGATTATGAAGGGAGTCTAATTATTTTTTCCCCCAATTGCTTTGTTCGGGACTAAAATTGGACAGACCGAATGGCTGAGTATTTTTAATTCTCCGTCCTTGCATAAACATTGCTTTTATTTGGAACTGAGGGATATCCTTATGCCTTGGACTTCAAGCCCAACAATTTTAAGGTGTTTTTAAATAGTAGTGTCTGAGTGCCATTTCATTCCGTTAATTTATTCTACCATCATATCATTCTTCTTTGGCAGCCTAAGAATGATTTTTTTTTGCATTTTTTGTGCATTTTAGAGCATAATGGACTATCCAACAAAGTTGTACTGGTTGATCGGAGCTGCATGCTCTTAGTAATGTTCAGACATTTGGGTAGCGAAAGTTCAACAGGCTTTCGAGTTTGTAATTAAAGGTGTCTTCCCCAGAAGTTCCTTAAGGAAACAATAGCTTGTTATATATTTTCAGGAAAACAACAGCTTTTACTTTGGGCATTGTGGGGGTCTCCCCTCTCTAAACATGTAGCAGCTTTGTAGCAGCAAGAATGAATGTGCCTTTCCAGTAATGTATTTTATACCCGGCCTTTTCACCTTTATTACAAATCTTACTGTATTATTTGTATTGGTTTGAGAAATAAGAAAGACGGAGTCAATCTGTGGAGATTTTCCTTTTGGGTATGTTGGTTGATTTCATCCGTGGGTTGTTCTTGGTGATGGGAAATGGCCACCTAGCCCATTAAACAACAGGAGGTGATTCTTATATAGCACTGTCTTTTATGTTGGAATGAGTTCTGTGAAGGAGTAATATCTGAGCAGCATCATGCTTGAAGATGACAATGTCAATTTCACCACATTTGAAAGAAAGCGCATAATGCATTATTCAACAAAAGTTATACTGGTCAATCAGGGCTGCATGCTTTTAATAATGCTCAGCCATTTGGGCACAGAAAGTTCATGTTCGAAATCAAAAACATCTTCACCAGAGGGAGTGATACGTCTTGGTTTGTGGGAACGAGAGGCACAATTTGAAGCATCCATCACCTGGAGCAAGAGAATACTTTTCATTTAAGATAAATCTACTACATGATTTTTTTTAATAGTAAAGAGGACGATGTTCTTTTTAAAAATGTATTCATCTACACATTTCAATGTGTTGGGACTTAAAAATGGTTTACATTTCAATACTCTTAGTATGCACCAAATGACCCTGTTTCAATATTCACAACTGTTCCTCAGATTTGTGTAGATGGATGAACAGAACTCATCCCTAAGGAACATGGACTTGGCACATTCCTTCATTTTTACTATTGAATGTTGAAAAGTTTACAGCTTTTTGGTAAAAGACAGCAGATTTTATTTTGATTCAAAAATTGATTTTTCTATTCAGAAATGAGGACGAGGTTAGTCTTTATCTTTCAGACGTTTAATCTAAGTGCAATATTTGCAACTTTTAATACATTGATTGTACACGTGTATCTCAATTATAAAATGTAAATATTTTATTTCTTAAAGCATTATGTATATATAAGTAAAGTGCCTTTTAATCTTTTTATCTGGTGTGAAAGGAAGTATTTTCATTGCTTTGAATGTTTTTATTAAAGTGTCCTTGGTATTGTAAGTATGCACACATGTAACATTTGCTGATTTTTATAGAATTGGGGGCAGTAAAAGAGGAATCATCCAGAGGTGGGATACTACCGCTTTGGCCTGGTTCTATAGAACCTGTAGCTGCGAAGAGTAGCTGACACCGAACCGGTTTGGTGTTTGGCCCACCCGCCTGCCTGGGCTCTAGGCTGTCCTTTATTCCCTGCTTTTCCCTCCTCAGCTTCTTTGTGCGGCATAGCTGAGGTTGAAAAAGCAGGAAAAGAGGATTTTCAAACTGAGTGCAGCGCTTGTCAGCTGTCCAGGCGGCACAGCTAATGATTTCTTGCAAACGCTGCACACACGATTGTCCGCAATTGAGAGAACCCGCAAATCACTCCACTGGCTGGCCCCTCCTCTCCCCGCCCACTCACTCCTTACCTGGCACAAGAGCCATCCAACTTGCCTGGTTTGGTAAGTTGCTATTTTTCCTTTTTTTCCCTCCAACCATCAGCTGTTCTGCTCTGCCAGGAGATTTAAATTAGCTAGAAAGCAGGGAATCTTCGGATTTCTTGCTTTCTAGCTAGTCTAAAAGCAGAGCTGAACCTTCCTTAGGACTAAAGCTTTTCAGTGCAGACTCAGGTAGCCAATTGCAGATAGATAGATCTCTAAATTAATCTGTGATTCTGTGAGCAACTCAATCTGCCTGCCTGCTTTGCCTACTTTGGGGTAAAAGTTGCTCTTTTTAAATAAAAAATGTAATATTTACATACATGGTGTGTTGTGAGTTAATTTTATGAGTTTGCTTTGTAGTAGAAGTTGGGAGGAAGGGGTCGAGCTATTTTCTAAAGCTCCTGTAGTCCAGACAAGGAATAATAGATGGAAACTGAACAAGGAGAGATTTAACCTGGAAACAAGGAGAAACTTTCTGACAGTGAGAACAATCAACCAATGGAACACCTTGCCCTCGGAAGTTGTGGGAGCGCCATCACTTGAGACTTTCAAGAAGAAATTGGACTGCCATTTGTCAGAAATGGTGTAGGTCTCCCGCTTGGGTGGAGGGTTGGACTAGATGACCTACAAGGTCCCTTCCAACTCTGATTATCTGTATCTGTATCTGTTCTTTTTTAATAAAAAAAATCAATATTTACATAAATATATTTACATACAAGCCATGCCCATCCAGTCACATGACCACCAAGCCATGCCAATCAGCAAGTCACTCCCACCCAGTCACATGACCACCAAGCCACACCCACAAATTAGACCACACCCACAGAACCGGTTGTTAAGAAATTTGAATCTCACCCCTGGAATCATCCATATCCCATATCAAATTCTCTTCCAGTTGGACCAGCAATCAAGAAAATTCTGATTCCACACAAATGGCTGTCCAATCTCTTTTTAAAAAAACTTCTATGGTGGAACACTCACAATTTCTGGAGGCAAACCATTGCACTGATTAATTATTTTCACTATTAGGGAAATCCTTCTTAATTATAGGTTAGATCTCTCTTTGATAATTTCCATCCCTGTCTTGCCCTCAGGTACTTTGGACAATAGCCTGACCTCCTCTTCTCTCTGATAGCCCCTCAAATATTGGAAGGCTGCTATCATGTCACCCCTAGTCCTTTTCTTTGTTAGACTAGACCAGGGGTGTCAAATTCAAGGCCTGTGAGCCAGATATGGCCCCTAGGGTGCTTAAATCTGACCCTGGGGCCACCCTGGAACCGGAAAATGCTTGGGAGGGCTGCATGTGTCTCCCGGGCTCCATTTTGGGCTGCAACAGCCTCCTGCAGTCCTCTGCCAACAAAACTGGCTCAGGGAGGCAATGTGCGGTTCGCCTGGGCTCCATTTTTGCTGGCAGAGGGTTACAGGAGGTGGTCACGGCCAAAACGGAGCCCTGGCAGGTCGCTCCCCGAGCTCTGTTTTTGCTGGCAGAGGGCTGCAGGAGGCCGTCGCAGCCAAAAACAGAGCCTTAATGAGTGATATCAACCTGGCCATGCCGACCCTGGCCATGCCCACCCCAGGCACGACTCATCCCGGGCATGCCCCCCTCAGGCACAGCCCCCCCCCCAGCCCCCAGGTCAAACACAACACTGCTGTGGCCCTCATTGAAATCAAGTTTGATGCCCCAGGACTAGACATACCCAGTTCCTGCAACTGTTCATTGTATATTTTACGTTCCAAAAACCTCTTGGAATTCCTATCCTCTGGAAGGAGCATGGCTTTTAAGAAAGCTTTAAGAAAAGACAAGAGATGCGTTGTGGTATATTACAAAACTGAAGAGTAAATTTTCTCCAATTAGGTTTACTGCATATATTAGATAGTCAGAACAAAACAACGTAAATTTTAGTATTTCTCCTGTTAGTAGCCAAATTAATTGTTACTATAAAACATGAGAATATCTAAATATCTCAGTGGAATGAAGGTAAAATAAGATACGTTCCATAAGTTTTTTTAAAAAATCCTGCTGCTTGACAATTGGCAGAATGGTGGGATTTTATTGTTTATACAAAATAAAAATACTCTTGTAGCTGTAATAGACATTATGGTAAAGTTAAACATCATGCCAATTTTAAATTTAATAAATGTAATGTAAAAAATATTTTTCCCCAAAAAAATCCCTGGATATAACTTGATGGCTTTATCAGATTTTGTGGCTATTCAAACAAATTGTTGGCAAATGTTGGAGGGGGAAGTTTAAGCTCTCACCCCCCCACACCCCGCCCAATTTCCACAATGTGGGCATACTTAAAAACTATGAAATGTATTGCCAATCTAGCCACTTTAAAAAGCAAATGGGACAGGTGCCATGGAGGGTGTGATTACTAGTAGGAATGGCTGTTTATTATCTCCTGGATTCTGGTTTGCACAATTAGCTGGGAAGCAAAATGGGGCAGGGGTGCAGCCCTCGAATCCTGGTTTGTGTGCATCTCTTATGCATCCAGGTCTCTGCTGTATGATACAGAGAAGACCCAATAGGGCTCTTTTGACCTGGTTCCCAGTTTGGGCTGCTCTGATTCTCATGATCATTGGAGGGTTCTGCATCTTGGAAACACCACCTAAGCCTGTCCAGATTCTTTCAGTTTTCCATGAGAGCCAAGCCACGTTGTTGAGGTAATTCCCCGTTAGGAGAATGAGCGCACACAGGGAGATGTAGTGAGAGTGGTGAAGAATAACACACAACCAGCACACAGATACACTGTATAGTAAAATGTAGGTTTTTACTTCCCTAAATGTTTACTTACTTAAATGTTTAAGCAAAGTCCAACAAGCAGTCCAATTCATTCACGGTTAAAGCAGTCAGTTTTCAGTCCAGGGATAATCCAAATAACAAAGTCCAGTATCATAAACAGTTCAGTAAAAGACTCACATCAAAGCCAAGAATAACGAGGATCAGCAACAGTCAATAGGGAAATGCAGGAACTGCAACACTCACAGAACCCAGGTTTCTGGCTCCATCTTATGGCCGTTTGAGGAACCACACCCATTTACAATTTTAGCATTCCCTTAAAGAAACAGTATTAAAATGTCTATCCTGATTTATATATCTAACATATTTACTGTCCTAAAAACCATGGTGGCTCAATGGTTATAATGCAGTATATTTCAGGCT